TCTATGAGAACTGTAGGTATCACCCTTTTAGAAGTAGAGGGCTTAAACTTCTTTGCTGCAGTGTCCTGCTTCTGCAATATGATGCAAGATATCGATACTAAGGCATGTTTGGTGCATTTAGCCTTCGAAAATCTTGGAGCTCCATGCACAGGGTCAACACTGACAGAGCCTTGGGCCTCAGTGGTACCTAGAGCAGTACTTGATGTCTCTAACATAGTCTTACTTTGAGAAGACTGAGGCTTTCTCAAATCAGACTCTTTAAAAATGAGAGTGAGTCCTCCCAAGGATCTCTCCTGAGTACGTCTGGGTGAGTGCAGATGTTGACAGGGCACTATGGTCTCTCAGAGGCTGATGCCTGGATCCAAGGCCAGATGGAGATAACACTACATCATTAAGAGCTTAAGTTTTACTTCTCAATTCTTCCTGGCTCTGCTTTTAAAAGCTGAACAGATAGTAAACTTCTGAGGGATATAAGTTTCCCCCAAACTATAGGATACACCAGGAGTGCCAATCACTGATCAGGACAGCTTCCTGGCAAGTCAAGCAACAACTGAAACTCAGGATAGTGGATCTCAAAAGAAAAAGCCCCCCCAGAGGTGAAGGGATTATAGAACAAATCCCTCTACAAAATGAAATAAGCATAAAATTAAATTAAAGGAAAAGAAAGAAAATAATTAGACTAAGGACAAGCTTTGAATAGTAAAGTGGACACATTAGCACTCTCTCTCTGACTGTGAAGATAGGTTTGCCCGGGCAACCCTATATGTCCTCAGTGCAGGGTATGAGGATGTGTAGGACACAATGGGCACTACCACCAAATTTCCAATCAAGGCGTAAACACACCAGAACTGGAGCACTCATAGGGACACTACTTGAAAAACAACTCTGGGACATGTATCAAGACAGCAATGCAACACTAACAATCTATTGATATTACACAATAGACTTTTCTAACATGGACAGGGCCTTAGTACTTATATAGCACCAATCCTTGTCATATCTAGGTGCTGGTAGCCAAGCTCTGGGACAATGGAAGGTTTGGATGTGTTTACAGGTACAAGGAGTTATTCTTTTGCATACATTGCAAGACACAGGTTCAGTTGTGCAGTCCTTAATCACGAGTTGTCTAACTGAAGTCTGTAGGGCTGCTTTTTCTAGCTCTAGCCTCCATGCTGTGTACTTAGAAATATTTCACAACACATTTCTGTCAAGCCCCGTGCAGGAGTATATTGAGGGCACTTTTCTTAGTGAAATCTAAGTAACTATTATTCACAGTAGCCACTAAATACTTAAAAAGTGTTTCCAAAGAGCAGCTAAATTGCCTTATATATATTCTTCTTAAGCCCTTTTGCTATATTAAAACTCTTGCAAAATACCAGTTAGAGATTTTTCTCATGATAAATGAATGGATTACAGAATTTACATTTTGCCAATTCAATTCTCTCCTCACTCTTCCCCCACACCTCACCCCACCCCAAAGGATATTCTTAACACCTAGTGTGTAACAGAGTGTTTTCATATTGTTCAGAACCATGATAAAAATTCAGATCTTTTAATGTACATATAAAACAATTTAAATGTATTGGATTCTACACCGTGAATGTGGAAAAGATATTTAATTGTAAAATAGAAAAAGTAGGCCAGAGTACAGTTTTAAGGGCAATGCCTTTGAATACAGTATAGGTAAACTAGACTTTGTTTAAGTTTATATAAACAATATCATAAAAGCAGTGAAACATGGAAAGACAAAGCAAAGCACAAATAAAAGATAAGTTATGTTTTACAAAAAAGGAATCCGAACAATAGTTCAAAGTTGAATGTAACACGGCATCGAACAGTCTTAAGGCAGCGTGACCTAAGGACGGGACTAGGAGCCAGGAACTCCTGAGTTCTATTCCTGGGTCTGCCACTGACTTATGTGGCCTTGGGCAAATCACTTAACCTCTCTGTGTTACACTTACATCAGTTGTAAAATGGGGACAATAATGTCCATACCATAGGGGACATAGTGATGATTAATTCTTTACTGATTATACAACACTTTGAAGATGTAAAGCACTATATAAATGCTAAGTATTCGTACAGATCACTGCACAGACAGACACATTTATCACAGTGAAGCACAATGATGATAGATAACAAGAGCACCAAAACAACATCAAACTTTCAGGTCCAGGTGCATAATTTAAATGCAAAAGTCTGTTTATAAAATGTGTCCTTGAGATAATCTGCAGATTATTGGGGAAACAGCTTAATAAGAATATTTTAAAGGAATTGCTATGTGGGTTCCAGTGGAGACAGTCTTTCATACTTCTGTACTTTAAAAATGTTTACACATGAAAGTTATAAGACACACAGAAAAGTGAAGTTTCAATGCCCCCCACTGTCAGCATTTTCAAATAATGTCTGTATTACGTAAATTAAGGTTTTTTTTATTTTTACAAATTACATTCTTCCAAGAAATATACCATTCACAATAAAACTGGCTGCTAGCTTACTTCAAATGACATTTAGGCTAAACATTTTTTCCTCTCAATTTCCCTCATCTTTGCTGAAAAATATCTATGCAAGATGTGAGTAGAAATTATAAAAACATGCAGCATATGTACAAACTGAAAAGTTTAAAAAATATTAGCTTCATATACATGTAAATCTACTTGGATATATTGGAAATTAAATATAAAATTTTCACTTTCTAAAACAAGGGTTTTCAGAAAATCTAAGACAACTACTTAAAGCTGTACAAAGATTTTCATCAGGTCTAAGTTGTTCCTTATATGAATAACTATTAATTCATTTTGTCACATAATTCATTTTCAAACTATCAATCTTAATCAGCAACATCACCCTTAAAACTGTTCTGTTTTTCAGAAATTAGATTTATACTAAAATCCAAAATTTCACAAAAACATTGGCTTCTTGTGTTTCTGGATCCCTTCAAAAAGATTTATCAACTCACTTTGGAACTGTAAAAAAAACAACTATTTACAGTATTTCATTTTAAATACTCTTCACAATTTCTAAATTCAGCTTTTATGTTACAAGAAATTCATCAGAGCTCATGGCTTAAGTCCAGTTATCAACCTGTAGCATCTTTGCTATTGTGTAATCCCATTTCTGTACCTATACAGTGTACAGTTCAAGATTGTACTGCAGTTTTCTTGACTGAAAGTAACAGACTTTGCAATATGTCCATTTCAATATTTAAACAGCTTCTTTATTAGTCTGGAGACGGGTCATTGCCTCTAATTTCTGCCGATAGGCCTCTGCTTCTTGCTCTTTCTTTAGAAGCTGCTGTCGATACTTTTGTGCTTCTCGATTTGCCTCATCCAGCTGTTTCTGTAGCGTTTCTCTCTCCTATTAAAACCAAAACAGCAATGTTTTGTCAAATGCATGTTAAGTGCAAGATAAAATGGCAGGTTTTGGACAGCCGAGGTATAAGGCATCATACACAGAATCAGAAGCTAGGAGATCCAATCCTGCAGTTTACTCAGGCAAAACTCTCACTTAAATACTTTTGTGTAAGTTAACAATGAAAGATTGGGCCAGACAACTGCTCACAAGATTTAAAGTGCAAATATACCAAAAAATACTCTCTCTTTAAGAGTATGCTCTTATGACATTTTCTCAGGGAAAAAAGCAAGCTTTGGAAAATATGTTGAATATTTAGGCACAGTTGTCCGACTCAGTTTTCAGAATCTGAATTATTTTTTAAAAAGTTCAAACTTCTTTAAAAAAAAATCAATACACAGTTCATATCCAAGCAAGTTTCCCACTCTGAGTGTGTATATAATTAGAAATGGACACGTCAGCATAGAAATAGAACTTCCAGGGACCAATTCTCGTACATCATGATAAAAGTAACTTCTGCCATTAGACTGACAACCTATTCTTTCCCCCAGTGAGGTGAAATAGGGGTTTTCCACCTTACAATACATACATCTCTAACTGGAGGGAGAAAAAGTTTGCTCATCAATGAAATTCTTAACTAAGGGCCCATCATGCATCTGCATCCATGCAGGCACAGGGGTTTGCCCACACAGATGCAGCTGTAGGACAGAGGCTAAGTTCCAGTTGCAGAATCTTTATTTCTGGCAACAATGCAGAAACCAGAAGGGACACAGCTTGACTTTCAGATCCACAGCTAATGGGAAAAACCTATTTTACTTGTAAAGTGAGCAATCTGATTTAGAAATTAATGAGATACAACAAACATGGAAATTCACAAGATTACTTCGAGTCATATTTCAGACTACAATAGGTGATCAAATAAAAGAGCGTGCTGGCTGTGTGTGTACACTGAACAATTAATGAACACTGCATTCTAATGAGGTAACTGTTTTTCAGCCCATCAGAAGTACATTTTTAATCTACTAAATAATTTAAAAGGGACTCGGACACCTTAAATCTTGTTTGAATATTTTTTAAACCTAAGATTGTTACATGGAAATTTTGCCTAGAATTATCCCTTAAGATTACTGTAACTAAAAGGAATTAAAGAAAAATATTTTTTTCTTCCCTCCCCCCTGCTCTGCCAGCGTGTGCATTTGACAGCGCTTACTAAATACAGTTAGTTTGATCCGAATTTAACGTCATCAGCTAACAGTAGCTTGCTGCTCCTCACTATAAATGACAACCAGGCTTTTATGGAAAATAAACTTGGGAGACAAAAGCAGAAGCATGCCAATCAAATACTATTATAATACAACAAAGCTCCATTACAATTACATTGAGTGTGATCTGCTTCCCATTGATGACAAAATTCTTACTGACTTCAATGGGAGTAAGACCATGCTCTTTATTTCTATTCAGCCAATTGGATAGTGTAATTTTAACATTTTAACTAATGGCTCTCCATGCTGTAAAGTGATGGCTGCTCACAATACAATTATCTAACTCCTATATTCTCATTCGTTTCAGTCACTGACTATAAGAATATTTTGGATTTTTTTCCAAAAGGACACTGTACTTTTATGAATTAACAAGTGTTTGGCTAGATTTATTTTTTAAAATTTGTTTAAAGTGAATTATAGTTGGCCATCCTACAAACCAATTGTCTGGCATACCTTGCATCTGCTATATTTAAATATGATGTCACAGAATGGTTTCAAGGCAAAGTGAGACACTTCATTTCAAAGCAGGAGACATTTCCTGTGTCCTAGGAAACATAGCTGAATGTATTTCTATTGTACTCAGCTATTAATAATGTAGACGCTGCCATGCTGTTTGATGCAGAAGAGCCACCGTGACAAACTGCATCCTATTGAAAAATGACTGCCTTGGAAAATAGCTTTGTTTTGATCTTCACTCAAGCAGAAGCCATCTTATTAAAATAAGTGCACCATACTTTTATGGATAAGCCAATTTCTGATTCAATCACTCTTTTCACTTTAATCACCAAGTAGTAGTTGTGGAAGCAAGACTCGCAGAAAATGAAGCTGCCAAGTTATCCCTCAGGAAAATGTTGGTCTATCAAATAAGACAAAGACATAATCACCTTACTCCCTCATGCTTTCTCCTTCACTCTAGCAGCTCAAAACCATATTACCGTTTCAGACCTCAAGCAGGTCTGAAATACTTTTCTATAATATTTAATAATATACTTTTCTTTCTCAGCTCAGTAACCCTACTCCTCACTGGTTTGCACGATTAGACCTAAAAATGTTAAATAAATATAATACACATAGTATGCCTTCCGCTTCCTCCTGTCCCCAATGCTAGAGCTACCTTTAGCTGTCACATGTGGCGCTGAATATGTCAGAGTATAATGACAAAGGTAACTGATCAGTGCTAATGTTAGCATCTGTGTAGCAGAAACAATGGGTGGAGAGATTTTATTAAGTTTCATAAATGTTAGTCATCAAAATAGGGAAGGGAATAAACTACATATATTGTAGTTGCTTTATATGGGGCTTTACACAGTTTTGAACACTGGGCTGAAAGGGAAGCTAAAATCAATAGGTTGCAGAGGGGTAGCCATGTTAGTCCGTATCAGCAAAAACAAACAACCAGGAGTCCTTGTGGCACCTTGGAGACGAACACAATTTATTTGGGCATAAGCTTTCGTGGGCTTGAACCCACTTCACCAGCATCTGATGAAGTGGGTTATAGCCCACAAAAGCTTGTGCCCAAATAAATTCATTAGTCTATAAGGTACCATAAGGCCTCCTTGTTGTTAAAATCAATAGGTCTGTCTCAGTTGGAGTATGCACGAATAAAATGAGTGCTCCATCTTAAATGGTGATGATCTGGATCACTCACTTGACAAGATAATTTGGCATTCAACTTCTAAGTTTATAGTCTTTGGAATCAGAACGCTGCCTTGTAAGACATCATGTGAATGGTTTAATAGTAAATCAACCCATCCAACAATTGGACTGGCCAATTATAATTGCCTTTTGCAAAATAAATATTTAAATTCACATCACAGGACATGTAAAGTGCAATTATACTCTAAAAAAGTATAAAGTGAAGTTAGCACTGTGGGTACAAGTTTGTACCTCAAGGACATCCAAGATCAAATTTTCTCAGTTTATTAGTGAAAAGATTACTTTTCTAACTGCCACAGTTGCAAACTCAACCTGAAGTCTGAAAATCAAATATGTTCTTTCTGGCTTGTAATTATCACCACGAAAAAGAGATTCCACAACTGGAACTTAGTGAGCTGATGATGCAAGATGAGAACTGAATTCACCTCTCTCCCACAGGTATATTTTTCTACAGTGGAAATAGGGGAAGCATAAGCTTATTTAGAAGCTAAATTCTGCTCTTAGTTATACTGCTATAGATCTGGATTAACTAAAGCAAGCACACTTGACTCTAAATAAGAGGAACAAATCTACTGAGTAAGAAATTGTCTTTTTAAAAAGTCTCCACATAAAGTGTGCTTATGTAGCTAATGGAGGGGAATGAGACATAAAATGCAGATACACCAATCTCTAAAGTAAATGGAAGATCTGATGGTGTGTACTATTTTAAATGCTTAAAATAAAAAAAAAACTGTCAGTAATAAAGGAATAATATGAAAAAAATAATATAAAAGTAGAGTTAAACTTTTTGCTTTATGGTAGATTAGTCTTCTGGTACAAAGGAATATCAAAACTGTGATGTTCAGGAATTTGATGGGGGGAAAAAACAAAATCTTCCTCTTATTTGGAAAGGATTTTTTTGCACAATAAATATCTACATACTGCTTAGAATTACATGTCTGAGAAATGCAAGATTATTTTACAAAAAGGAGTTAGATCTGGGTTCAGAAATAGGTAATTTTATCTTATTCAGAGCTTTTTACTATTTAAATTAAAACAGCAATTCTTTTAAGTGAAGATAAGAATTTTAAATATTTTACTGGCAGCTACTGAACATATACAAACGTTGAAAACATAAGATACATACCAAGCTTCCTCTAATATGAAATAATCCACATAAATGAAAATTCCTTGCTTTTAACTAAATCAGTTTTTTCTAACGTTGTCTGAGCCTAAAGTCAAGTCTGCTTATTAGAGAATACAATTTACTTACAACTTGGATTATTTCCAAAACTGAAAAATACAAGAACAATGACACAGAAAACGCCAATCTGCAGCTACTCCTGGGAAGCAGCAAGTAGAAGAAAATAAAAAGGGAGGGTACTGGAAAAGATAAATACTATATACACATGAACAATATTTTTAAAGGAACATAAATAAACAGAGCAGACAGGTTGAAGAAAATCTAAGGCATAAGAATGAAGCAAGCCCTAAAGGAGGATCTTCACAGATGTCTTTATCGGCAGATCTCTTCTTCCCTGTCATAAAGGTGCTAGAGATCTTGTAGAATGCACGTGGATTCTTGATAGATGAGACTTCTTAAACTTATGCAGGATTTATTATGGCAGTCTTGACTCCTTTGCAAATAGATGTTTTAAAACCTTTCCTGGTGCAGCCCTAAATCAAAAAAGACAACATCAGGCTTCTGCCATGGCTATACAGTACGTAAAAGGAGAGAAGAATCACTTCTTTGAGAAGAATGGATTTCTTGATTAAGAGGAAACAGAGACTATATCTTGGATGTGAATTCCACTAGTCTTCTTTTAGAAGAAAGAGAGAAAAAAAAATGGTTATCTACCTTTCGTAGCTGTTGTTCTTCGAGATGTGTTACTCATGTCCATTCCATTCTAGGTGTGCACACGCACCTATGTGCACAGTCATTGGAGATTTCTGCCTTAGCAGTATTGGTATGGTCTGCTGTGGTGCCCCCTTGAGTGCCGCGCTCATGCGCTGGTATATTAGGCGCCACCAGCCTTACCCCTCTTGGTTCCATCTTGCCGGACAGAGGGGTAGGAGGGCGGGTATTGGAATGGACATGAGCAACACATT